TTAGGTTTAAATGCTTCATTTGTGTCCACACAGAATTGTATTATTTAGTTCAGGCTAACTTAATTAAAACTTACTTAGGGTTGTTACTTGGTCAGGAGAAATTGTCAAACACAGCAGTTCTCTTGGTTGAAAAATAAGATAAGCAAAGCAGTACATTTTCCAAGCATCACTGATGGGTTTGTCTCCATGGAGGGCAGCCTATACATTTTGCCTTTGGCTTCAGGCTCCAGTATGGCTTGGCATGGTACTAGTCTTCTAAATTTTTTAAAATATTTTCTTCAGCATAGATTTTTGGTGTCAACTTTGAGTTTTAAAAATATGACATGTTGATGTTGTTCATTTTGATGCCTGAGTGTTTGGCACACCCTTCACTTTGGCACCTACGTGAGCGCCTCACTCTCCTCGCCCTACCCCCAGCCCTGCTACTGGCGGGACCTTGTGTCTGTTGCAAATACCCGCGCTCAACATGCCTTGTCCTTTTCGATTTGCCTTGCACTCTCATCCCCTATCTCCTTACATCCCTAAATCAAAGGAGGGGGATCTATTTTGAGTGTTTGTGAAGAAAAGAGCATATAACTCTAATAAATACTCCAAACAAGCAATGAAAAAACTGGAAGTCTTGCATTGTTAGTAATATAAATCTCTTCTAATCTCCCTTTGGTATTCCGTTTTGGTTGAAGCCAAAAATGTCAGTGGACAAGCACAAGAAAAAATAACGAATCCTCCTTTCACCGCCCCAATTCTGTTGTCGCACAAGAGAAAAACTCAAATGAAAATAAAACCTTAAATTCCCAAATATCACGAAATGTTTGCTCTTTCCAAATGGAAATTATCATAAATATGTTCTTGTTCTTGGTTCTACACCCTTTCGAAAACTCACGTTTCCACTCCCAATTCAATCTTGTGCCATTGCCACGTGCGACACGGGAACCGAACGCTTTATCTCGGTATGTACACTGATGGCAAAGAACAGACGCTTCAGGAACAAAACCCAAAGGGTCGGAGGAGAATCACAAGGAAAATCAACCATGCATCACTGCACTCAGGCCTGCGTTTCAGGAGCTCCTGCTGCTTCCTGCTCGGCGGGTGTCCCCATAGTCCTTACTTCTCTTACTCTTACTCTCCACCTTGTAGCTGAGTCTTCACTCACTCAAGACTTCAAAACAAGAAATCTGTCCATGCCCACTGTGCCACGGCTCGCCCAGGCCTCTGCCTCACTTCCTGCAAACGTGCGATCGCCTCCCATCCTCCCCGGTTCTCCCCGGGCTGGTCGCCTTCCCACGTCGGTGTCTTTCTGCCTGTGTCTCTCTGTTCTAGAATCGAAGCCACCCTCCTGCTGCCAAGGGGATCAGGCCTGTACAGGTGGGCTTTGCCTTTAGACACCGCCATGGTTTAAGGTGGACGGTTCTCTCTTGTGTCATATTGCCTTCATAGGTTACTCTCTCGCGGTGGATAGAAAGGTAGAAAGTAGCGACGCCAAAGTCTTTGGTAAGTGGTTGTAAATGAACAAAATGGCGCAGTTCGAAGTAACATGATCGTAATCACTAACATTCGTTAAGCATTTATTAGAAACCAGATACTATTCTCACAGCATAACAATTCTGTAAAGTTGGTGCTGCTTTTTAATCTCTGGTTTGCAGGTGAGGGAACTGAGACAGAGAGGGATGAATCTATTTACCCAAGACCACAGCTCGAATAGCAGTGGAAAAGGAATTCCAACTCAGGTCATCTGGCTCTGGATCCGAACGTCAAACCCAGTGAGTTACACTATGCAGGAGTGCGCTATTGATGGGCAACCGACACAGCGATGTAGTTGGCACCATCTGGCAGTTATAATTTGTCATCACTATAATCTGTCACGACCATAATCTCTCATCACGGTAATGCAGCACTACTGCTTCTTAATTTAAGTGCCACCCCTCAGCCTGCCGTTTAAGGGCTTCTGCCCTCTGTGCTGGCCAACCCCTTCATCGTGCCCACAGCCAGCGGACACAGTTACTATTCTGTCCAGGCCCTGCGTCAAGCTTCCCAAATGTCTAGACCTGTTGACCCCTCTCCAGTCTTCGAAGTTCACTGCAGATCCTTGCTCTTCTCAGAAGCCACCCCCGAGACTACAGGTCACACCTCTTTCTCCTCTCCAAATTCCAAGTGGACTTATGGTCTGGGGTGTTGGTTTCCGCCCTTTGTCAATACAAAGACCACTTTTTAATGTCAAGAATCACCCACCTCAAATATAGTAGTTGGTGATGGCAAATCTGTAGTATCTAATGTGCTGGATCTAAGCCAGAGGTTCTTGCTGGGCCTGCTCCATAGACTCACAGGGGGAGATTTAAGAAATCCTAATGTCCAGACTGTACCCTAAAACAACTGAACACGATCTCTAGGGGTGGCACGTAGGCATAGTAATTCTTCGAGCTCCCCAGGGGATTCAAGTCTGAGAACCAATGGCCCAGCACCAACCATTCTGCCCTCCGCGACACACTTAATAACATGCTTCGTATTATTTTTATCCTTGAAGGCCTCCTTCAACAGGTCTGCCAACTCTGGGAGGCGAGCACATGCCTCGATATTTTAAACTTTCGCTACTCAAAGTGTGGACCACGGACCAGCAGTATCACGGCAATGCCTGGGAGCTTGCTAGAAAGGCGTATTTTCAGACTCTCTTCCTCAGATGTACCGACTAGATCTCCTGGTGATCCGTATACACAGTAAGCTTTGAGAAGCATGGGCGTAAAGTATGAAGACATTATCTACAGCTCAAGGGGTAGGACTCTCAAGCCTCAGAAGACAACTCAAATTAAAGAACTATTTCTTTATGTATTTTTACTTCATGGCATCATTATCAACCCTTCTGGGCTGCTCCTTGGCCTGTACCTAGAGGAAAACAAACACTCCCTTCTCCTCACTAAGAGTGTCTTCTCCAGATGTTTTCTGTTCAATGATGCTAGTCTCTGACATCCACAGAGCACCTGGGAGCTCACCTCCCTTCCCTTGAGGCCCTGACACTCACCTACGACCTTGTTCTAGGGTCAGCTTCCTTGACTGTACAATTCTTAGTCTTACAGGGATAGGGAACAGGAGAGGCTAGACAATTGTACAGCTTGGGATGAGCTTAATATGGAAGCTTCTTCCTTTTCCTAAGAGCAGTGAAAGAAAGTTTCCCTTCTTGGCATTTATATGCAAAGAGCATACCTGAAAACCACATAAAAAGAACTTCTATTGACGATTCTTCAAAGCACAATATTTCTGTATTTCAACATGCCATATAAAAGCTGAAATTTGGCAAGTCAACATCAGTGTTTTGGTTTTTTTTAGGTGTGTGTTTTCCAGCTTTTCCACAGAGTACCCATGAAATGTCATAAATGCAGCTTAACGAGGGATTCACAAACAGAAAGGCCGCCGTGTCTGTTTTCTTGCACGGGGAGGGAAAGAAGTGAGTTCATTAAAATTCTGGTGATACAAGATCTGCTGTGAAGAAAAGCCATTTGTGTTAGTTTAAATTAGAACTTATACCTTGATGACAGTTAGAAATCTAGGGAAAATTTAAGGGAGCCCAATTATCTGAAATGAAAAGCGAGACCATGACATGCCAGCCCATTTAGACAATTTGAATATATTCTTATTCACTCGTGGTTCTTGGGGCTCGAATCCAGGCGAAACACCTCACTTGAACCAGAATCTGGCCTGATAATAATTGGCACAAAGATGAACTTTTAAAAAGTGCATTTGAAAAGATGAGCCACTTAAAAATTCTTCCCTGCTCTGCAGGAAATGGACTGAAGCTGGATCTTGCGCTGCTATTCATGCAAAGATGCAGGAAAGAAGGAGGCGTGAGCCATGTGGAATTCCTTTCCCTACATTTCTCTAAATAATATAAGCTTTTATATCTGAAATAGTTTCAAATGAAAATTAATCTCTCAAATTCAACATCAATATAAAGGAACAATTTAACACGTGTCAATATTTCCAAGACACCGTGGAGTAAGACAGACCACTATTTTACATATAGCTAAGAAAGACAAAAAATGCTGTGATTTATATTAGACCATGCCATTGATTATACGATGACTCTCCACTGCAGAGATGATAAAACACGGGGCAAAATGTGTCTTAGAGCTGTTGACATTCAGTAAATTAAAAGCACAACGTAAAGGATGCTTTCATGAAAGGATGACAACAACTCTTCCCGCCACAAATTTAAGGCTTGGCGTCATGGTGGCAACATGGCTCCTGGTTAATGACGCCATAATACCCTCTTCACTGGCTTTGCCAAGTGCTCAGCACCCCCCCACATGCTGCCTCTGTACCAAATGTTTGAGATTAAGCCTAAAATCTGGCCCAAGCAAAATCCAATGGTCTTCCTTTGGGGGCAAAAATGGCGGCAAAGCAGAGCCTACAGCATGGCTTGTGCTTTACTCACTGCAAACATGGCTACATGTGGAGCCCAGCGTGCATTTTTACCAAAAGGCTATTAATTATAAAGAGAGGAGAGTCAGGAGAGCACACACCTCTAATTTTAAATGGGCACCTAGGCCTCGGGAGAGGCTCGTCTTGTGGTTTGGTAATGTGTCAATTGCGCTGGCAAGTTACACAAGTACGATGCATCCAGGTGCAGCCTAAGGGACCCGTAAGCACAGCTATCGGGATTCTAGAAGTAGAATCACTGATGTGCATCAGAGTCCTTTGAGCTTCTCGCCAGGGATTTATTAGTTCTTTTCTTTTTTTTTTTTTCCCAGTAAACACAGGCAAAAGGACCTCGAGGGGCTAAAAAAGCCAAAAATGAAACAGCAACACCCCATAAAGCACTTTCTAATTTAATAAGTGGATTAGGAAAATTGAAGCATTTTCTGGGTAGGTGGGCTGACAAGATCTGCCAGGAAGTTGCCACATCTCCACTGCCAGTTACCCTGTGTGGAATTATGTAAACTTCTCTAATTCTTTAGAAATGAAAAGAGGAATCCCCATGGCAGCTTTAGAAGACGAGCAACTGGTGTACTCACGAGGACTGGGAGGCCTTTCTTCTGAGTAAATAGTCCACCACATCGGGATCGGTCTCCAACAGGCTGATCAGTACTTCGTTCTGGAGATCGGGCGGAACCTGGAGGGGCCAAATGTCGAGGCATAAATCAAACCATTCCAGAAAGAGGAAAACTATGATCATTGGCAACTCTACAGTAACATAAAACAGAGCCTTAAAAGTCAGAACAGAGTGATTTGCCCATTAAAACCAAACCTACACCAACCCATACAGCCGGTTTAATTCTTAGGACAAAGTGGATGATGACCAAAACGTCATATTCAACCCAAATTGTCACCCCTCTTATGACTGGAGAGGGAGCCTAATCACTTGATACTTCTATTGCTCAGATAAGATTTTCTTGGCTTTGAATAAGCAAAATATCACGGTTAGGAGGGGCGGTGTTCATAATTTATTGTCCAAATGGGGACACTTTCTAGAGTTCCTATTTATAATTATGTGAAGACAACAGGCATAAATTATACCTGTCTTGGGCAAGTCTGGAATATATGATCAGTTTATTAAGAGGACGGGCCCTTGGGGCGCCTGGGTGGCTCAGTCGGTTAAGCGTCCGACTCTTGATTTTGGCCTCAGGTCATGATCTCAGGGTCGTGAGATGGAGCCCCATGTTGGGCTCCATGCTGGGGGTGGAGCTTGCTTAAGATTCTCTCTCCCCCTCTCCTTCTGCACCCCAACCACCCCCCTCTCTCCCTGTCTCTTAAAAAAAAAAAAAAGAGGACAGGCCCTTGAGCCAGACTGTGTTTGAGTCCTAGTTCCATTTATTAGCTGTGGGACCTTCGGCAAGGCACGTGACCTTTCTAGGTCTCAGTTTCCTCATCTGTAAAGTGGAGAGAATGATAGGCCTCACCACAAAGGGTTGCTGTGGTGATCGAATGACTTATTATACATTGAGAACTTAGAACAGTACCTGGCAGATAGTAAACACTCAAAAACATGCTGACTACTATATTGGCCCAAGTCATTTTATCATTGCCTGCTTGCACTCACCCCTTCCTTGCATCCTGGTCCATCAACAATGAAAAAAGTTTCTCGCTTCAGAATTTGACAAGGCATTCGTTCGAGTTCTGTAGCTGAGGGTCACGTTCCCCTAGGCTAACCCACAGCGCATTAGAAGATGGCCTTATAATCCTAAGCCACAATATTGTGTGAAAACGTTCTATGAGAAAAGACTGAACTCAGCTCCAACGGGCTTTTCACTCTACAGATGCTGGTGGCTCAAGTAAGGAAATTCAAATTATTGAGCGGAAACAACATTTCCATCTGATTCTCTCACAGGAGGGCTCAGAGACCAGGCTCTTAAACCTGCAGGGCCAAGTCTTCGGAGAATAAGTGGCGGGTGGAAGAATTTGCCTCCTGCCTCTTGCAGAACTCAATTCTTCTTGAGCTCTGAGAAGCTGGAAACAATTTTATTAATAAAAACAGGGATGAGAAAGCAACAACAAAACGCTTTCCTTCCCTCATAAATCTGTTCCTCCTACTTCATCCTGAATCTTCATTAATGACATTGCCAAACCCTACTCACACAAACTCAAAATCTGGGTTGCATTCAAGCTTCTCTGTGTCCTCTGCCTCCCTGTTCAGAACCAGGAAACCTACTTGACTTCATCTCTGTGAGGCCTGTTCCTTCTTTCCTCTATCTTCCATTTCTACTGCACTGATCCAAGTTTGAGCCCTTGTTACCCCTTTGTAGTGGGCATCTGTTGGCCATTACCAGCTTCCATTTCCCTCTTGTTGTAACAGTTCTGCCCCAAAGTTCCCTCGGAAGAATCAACTGCTCCCCAACCCTTAGCTCAAGGGTGATGTGTAAGCTGGTCGAGGGCCACCATCATCCCCCTCCCGGAACACCGGGGCTGCCTGCGCAACGGGCGTGTGACTCCATTCGAGGTAATGAGAAGCTGGGAGAATTTCCCCGAGGCATCTGAGAGAGACAATACAGGGCCAGAAGCCACATGGGGCCTGAGGATGGTGCTGATGATCAAAGAAACCACAGAAGGAAATGGAAAGAAAGGATCTCTCAGTATCATGAGTCCTAGGTAAACCTATGCCTGAAGCCATATTTGCCTGTGGACCTCCAATTCCTTAAACTACTTTGAGATTTTAGTTGAAAAGAAAGATACATCCTTCATGGGCCTTTAATGCAACTGCTTGCTAACTTAAGACACTAGCTATTTCCTTCACCACCGGTATCTAATTTCTTCTCTGTGTGGTTGTCCGAGTGCTCTGATCAAGACGCTTGCTCAAGAAACCTTTTTATCCCTACAGTGGAAGCCCTCCACTCGCTTCCTCATGTTTGCCATTTTGTCCCCTCACACACGGCCACCCTCACACGCTCTCTACTTCAGCAACCACTGCGCTTCTCACTCTGGCCTTTTCCCACCTCCTTCCTTTCATTCATTACATAAATATTTGGTGACTGCTTACTGAGTGCCAGGCACCAGATGCTGGGATTCAGCTACAAACCAAATAGACAAGAATCCTTGTCTCCTTGAAACTGACAATCAATATGGGAAGACCGGCATTAACAAATAAACAAAGCAAACACAGCGTGGATCACACGGAGACGAACAAAGCAGAAAAGGGGCAATGGGCTGTGCGGGGAGGGGGCGGGGCGGGGAAGTGCCATTTAAGTAGGATGGCAGGTCACAGAGAAACTGCCATCTGAACAGAGAACTGAAGTTGACGAAGGAATTGGAGAAAATCATTCCAAGCAGAAGGAAGAAAAAATCAGCAAGATCGTGAGTCAGGAGCAGAGAGGAGACCAGCGAGGCTGGAAGGAATAAGGAAGAAGGGGAGCAGTAGGAAGTGGGTCAGGTAGCCAAGGCCAGATGTTGTGGAGTCTTACGGGTCATGATAAGGACATCTGCTCTCTATCTAGGTGGCTGGGGAGCCACTGGGGGTTTTGAGCAGAGGACTACCGTGAATTGTCATTGCTGGCTGCTGCATTTACAGCAGACTGCAGGGAGGCAAGGGGGTGACGCAGGGAGTGCAGAGGGGGGCTACTGCTATATCCAGAAGAGAGACGGCGGAGGGCTGAACCAGGATGGTGAGCCGATGAGCAATCTGTGGACCCTGGAGACAGTGAGGATAGAGATGATAGCATTAGCTAATTTGCTGGCTGCGGAGAGAAAGAGGGAAGGAGAAGGAGAAGAAGAGAGACGCCTTCAACGTTTGGAGCCGAGAGGCAGGCACCGGGAAGCACGGGGTTGCCCCTGACACTGACCGGTGTAGAGAAGCTGCAGGAGGAGGAGGCTGGGGGTCACGGCTAGAAGGGTGGCTTCGCTAGGGTAAGGGGGGCAAAGGGGGAGGCCTGTGGGACATCCAAATGAAAGATCTAGTCGGCAACTGGGAATAAGGCTCTGGGGTTCAGGAGAGGGGCTTGGGCTGGACAGAGAAATGCGGGAGACGCATATAGATGGCATTTAAAGCTCGGTGCCCAAACCCAGTGGCCTGGGAATGAGAACGGAAGGAGAAGAGAAGGGGCAGGGCTTTTAGGTCAAGGCTGAGGGGTTCGATTCTCTTACTTTATTGAATAAATTAAACAAATAAAAAGACTGATAATTTTCACTGCAACTTTTTCAAGCAACACGACCCAACAAATACACACTATTATATCAATTTGTCAAAAAAAAGTAATGTCTGAAGGGTAAAAATGAGGAGAGAACTCGTTTTTTGAAAAATGAACAGAAAGCAAAAAATAATATAAGCCAAAAATGTATATCCCAAACACTTTTTAAAAGAAACTTCCGTGAGCAAATGAGGAAAAATATTTGTTTTTCATCCAGTTAGTTTAATTTAAAATTTTCTATGCTTAGACACGTAATAAAAAATTTTGCTCCAAGCACCAATCCATTCCCACTGAAGAATAAACAACCCTCATGTATACCCTTCGGAGTGCTGCAAGCATCACAATATTAATTCTGTTGAGAGTATACAGTGTGTCTAATGATAAATTATTAACTTGGGTACACTATTAAAATAGGTTACAGGAAGTATCATTATTTAAAACATAACTTTCCATAACGTTCTGTTAAATTATTCCATAATTCAGAGTTTTTACTCTTTCAACTCGGCTTGGTTCCCAACCAATTGTAATCATTGAGGTTTATTTTACGTAGCGTACATGACTTTTACTTGGTAACAAATGCAAATAGAAAGGGTCAGTGCTATAAATCTATCTATAGTTTCTTTTTAAAAGACCCATGATACCATTTTGGCTCGGAGACACTCTTTACAAATAAGTAAAAAGCTAGTTTCAAAATGTGGATCCCTGTATTGCAGGAAGGGTAGGTAATATTTTCCTATTAGCTAAGACTGACTCTAGTGTACATAATCCATTATTTTAATAAGTTTATTTATATCCCATCTTGTTACAAAATGACTTAAAGCAGCTTTAAAAATTCATGATAAAACCACGTTTGTTTGTTGTTAAAGGAATGGTACAGAAAATTGAGGCCAGTGGGAAAATTAGGGTAGAGAATTTGAAATTATGCCTAGAACTGACTTGTAATATTTGTGTAACAGCCTCCAGTGCTGTTTTCCCAATAATCCCTCCAATATTTGTCCCTATTTGCATGTTTCATTTCCTATTACTTAATAAAAATTTCAAACTACTGGCTCAGTTCAATTGGATGAGCATTCATTTTCTGTGAAGTTAGATACTTAACAGAGAAACACAAGTCAAGGGGAAACAGGAGCTTACGGTAAGTCAGAAATATCCAGCCAGATCATTCCTATATATGCTCCTTTGTAGGAAATCAGGATACTGTCAAAAGAATTTCGGAGTAAGAGTCGATAGCCCCCAAGGTCCAGTTTTTATCAGCTTTGCTGCTTATAATTAAGTAATGTAAACTTGGATACATCAACCATCTTCTTTAGGATTCTGCTCCTGCATCTGAAAATCCAGGCATATCCTATCTGTCCCATTTACCTTTATGGAAGCGTGATGAGGATCAAAAGGACCAACAGATTTGAAAGTACCTTACCGATTGCAAAGAGGTTCAGAATAATAGATTTTGTTAGAAATAGACAAAATAATAAATTAAACACTTAAAAGAACCAAA